TTCATGCGCGAGGTAAGCTGTCAGCGCTCACCCAAGCCGAAAAATGCACTGCTGCTGCCAAATCTCGATTGCCGAAAATCATATTGTGTTTGATGCAAAACTAACTAGAGTAAATCAAATGATAAAACATTTGAGTCTATTGAAAACCTATCTTCTTATGGCATAGATAATGTATGTTGAAGATATACGTTTATTGGCAACATGCTTGAGTAAACTAATAAAGTGATTTTTAATAAAAAATTCTGAGGATTTTATTGTTTTCTCTGTTTTCCTTATGCTTGTGTTGCTTACAGTTAAAAGTCCGTTTCTGATTTTATTGTTGTTTGCACTATCACGTTGCAGCATTTTATTTAGCAATATTACTTGAATTTTTTGGGCGTTTTACATGGTCTGTTGTTGGAGTAGCATCATCCAATGAGAGATTTTAATCCTACTCTCTGAACATAAAATAATTCATTAGAGGCCGAGACATAATAGACAGGGAGAATCCCTATGAAAATGTCATAGATGAGTTCACAAAGAAGGATTGGAGAATGATTTTTATTTACAAATAAAGTAGGAAATGAGCATTTTGTGCAAGTTCATTTTTTGGTGGGAGGATGGGGTGGTGCACTCAGCAAACCCAGTTAAAAAAAAGCCACTGCTCGCCTCTGTTATAACATGGATATGAAAATGCAACATGCATTAAACATCAGCCTTTTTATTTGATTGGCCATCTTAATTTTGACCTTGATAAGCGCTGTTAGACAGCCGAGGCAGACAAACCTATTAAAGATTGAAAGATAAAAATTATCCAAAAATTGGTAGAAAAAAAATGTTGGCTCTGATGTTTCTCTTTCTCTCTGATCAGTTCAGTCTGATAAACCTGCTCTCTGCTGCGTCCTGCAAGGAAACGGAGCAATAAAGCAGGTACACAATAATGAAGTGTGAAATGAAAACAAAAATGCACAGTTTACTCTGGTAAGGATATTAATTGAATATTTTATTCAAACAGAAAGCAATTCAACTCAAAAGCAGTCACAAACACTCAATATCAGAATAACAGGGCGAATCTGCACTGTAAAAAATAAGCGTAATTTTAACTGTAAAATTTTGGTAATATGAAGAATACAAATTATTTCAGGAAAATAAAATGCTGGCCATACGCAAATCATATATGTGTACATCAGTAGCGTAGCCACTGGTGTGCGGGTGCCACTCAAAGTGACAGCTGGCACACCTAAAAATAGATGTAGAATTATTTTTTATAGTCTTAATAAACAGTGTTTTTCTAAATTTGTGCTATTGTCATTTACTTGCAATATTCGTTAATTTAAAATGTAATAAAAATTTGAATTTGAATTGCCAACCAATCCACAAACAGCCGCTGACTGTGACGTGTGACCCCAGCATCTTGAGACACGTTTGCCGCCAGGGTTGCCAGGTTTTCACAAGAAAACCTACCCAATCTCTACTCAAAACAAGCCGAAAACTAGCCCAATCGTTAAAATCGATTAGGTCCTGTTAAAAATCGTGTTCTGGGGGGGTAAAATACACGTTTTTTGGCGGGGTTCCCCTGTTAAAATTCACATTCCAGGGGCTAAATATCATGTTACTGGAGTCGCTTCAACCCGCGGACATGAAAAACAACCTGCAGCAACAGTGTTAAAGTAGCCCGATTCCGCGGGAAAACCACGGACATGGCAACACTGTTTGCGGCGCATTCTAAACAATAGAGAATCTTTTACTAAACCTTGCTAGTTAGCAATATGTCTCAGAGCTCCCTGCCTAATTTCTTTAGTAAAAAACCTCGGCTTGATGGACGGCTGGACACAAGGCCTAACGTTACACCTGATGAGGATGTCTCTCCCTCCATGGCCCAGCATCAACAGGGTTGCCAACCGTTGCGTATCAAAGAAGCGCTCTGAATGAAAGCTTTACAGAAAGCAGGTTGTCCCGTATTCGCAGGCATACAGGGCCGTTTCTAGCCATTTTGACGACCCTAGGCGAAAACCCTCTTAGCGCCCCATCCCACTCCCAAACAATAAGATTACATACAAAATAACATAAAACTGATTATGTAAACACTCAAATCTTAAATAAAAACCATGACACATTTCCAAATTATATTTGCATATAGGTTATTATAATTTCTTTTCAGACATCAGTTTCTTGTCACATTCATTTACATTACATTTACATTTAGTCATA